AAGACCAGATAGGAAACTTCGGGGCAGTGAGTTTACATTAATAAGGAACAACTCAGTAAAGGTGGGCAAGAATGGTCATACAACTCAAAGAATGTAGTCAACATCTCTAAGCTGAACATGTACAAACTGCTGAATTGGTATGTGTTTTGCTATGTATTTTCTCAACAACAGAATTTTTAAATTGAGGGTGAAAATGGCAAATGTGCCATGTACAGAATAGTTGGAGTACATAGAAAGGTACAGAGCTGTGACATCACTGAGCTTTCAGGTTACATACCTACTTGCTGATAAAATTTCACCTAAGAAGGTTTGTGTGACAGTTTGGTACAAGACTTGCTTGGCTGCAGCAAGGTTTGTGGGAGGTGGCTTACATTGAGATACCTCTAACTGTTCATTAGACAAATACTTTCTGAATAACTGCTCTGTGGTCTCTTAGAACTTACATTTACTAAGAATTTACAATAGTAGTTGTATTTAACCAAGTTACTCACACTCAGTTCTCAGTGTTCTGCTACATACTTTGAAGACAAATAATGATCAGATGCTTGCCAGCAGGAGTTTACTCAGACACTACTGGTTGTTATAAACTGCATCCTTTATTTACCTTTTCTCTGGATTTCATCCGTAGAAGTATCATTTAATTTGCAGAAAACTAAAGAATGCATTTGGGGCTAATCACAGCACTATGCACAATACACAGAAGACAGAAACTGTTTATCCAGATGAATGGATAAACAATGAAATACTACTCAGCCAGTAAGAGAAATGAAGGCCTGATGCATGCCACAACATGGACCAATCTTGAAAATAATATGCTGTGTACAATAAGTCACTCACAAAAGGACAAACAGTGTACTGTTGTTAAGTGCTATTGAGTTGGTTCCGACCCATAGCAACCCTGTATAGGGTTTCCAAGGAGCAGCTTGTGAGCTTGAACCACCGGCTTTGCGGTTCAGACCAACTTTGCAGTCCAGTACATTACCTCACAGTGTCACACCAGGACTCCTATTGTACCATATGATCCTACTTACACTAGGCAAATGTATATAAAACGAAGATTATTGATGGTTTACATGGGTGTGGGAGAAAGAAAGAACAGAAACAGAAACTTTCTGTTCCACTTCAGTCTGAATTTGCATATGAGCAATTGCTGGTCTGTTCCACAATCTGTCCCTGGCCTTGTTTTGGCTAATGATATGGAGTTTTCCCACCATCTCTTTACACAGATGCGTAGGGGGCACTCAGTTTCTGTTGGTGGTTGAATAATTTGAAAATAAATAGTAGTGAGTTGCACATGAACATAATCAATGTTACTGAACTATACATGTGAAAGTGTTGAGTTGGCAAATGTTTTGTTATATACAAATATAAACGTGTATGTATATTTATTGTAAATATTGCAAACGTATGCATATTATACTGGTTACAAGGGGCTTCAAAAGTTCGTGGAAAAATGACACTCAAAGACAATGGAATTTTTCCATGAACTTTTTGAAACTCCTATATACCATATGGAGTCCTGGGTTAATGCGCTGGACTGCAAAGTCACTTGAACCTCAAGGTCAGTGGTTCAAGCTCACTAGCCCATTCCTCGGAAATCATATATAGGGTTGCTATGGGATGGAACTGACTTGATGGCACTTATCAACAACAACAACATATATCATTTGGAATCCTGGTGTGGTGCTGTGGGTTAATGGACTACAAGGTTGGTTTGAGCTGCAAGGTTGGCAGTTCAAGCTCACTAACTGCTGTTTGAACACTATGAGTTAGAACCAACTCAATAGCACTTAACAGCAACAATATAAGGAATCCTGGTGCTGGACCACAAGGTCAGTTTAAGTCAAAAGGCCAATGGTTCAAACCCACCAGCCACTCCTTGGAAACCCTATACAGGGTGGCTATGAGTCGGAGCTGACTTGACGGCACTTAACAACAAAAATACATCACAGACCACAATAAGACAATTTAATAAATGAAAAACAAAAAAGAGATGGGGAAAAAATAGGGGTGTTAATGTTTGAAGTGAAGTAGAACTTCTTTACAATGCCAGAACTGCTGCTGCTGTGAGGTGCCATTAAGTTGCCAGCTTAGTTTCTGACAAGTTCCAATTTTCTTAGATTCATACTTTGTACATTCCACATGCATGTTATTAATGCATGTCTACAGCTCTTTCTTTGCTATTCATAAGGTTTCCAATGACTAAATATTCGGAAGTAGTTCATCACTCCCTCTTCCTAGTCTGTCTTTGTCTGGAAACTCATCTGAAACCTGTCCACCATGGGGGACCCTGCTGGTATTTAAAACACCGGTGGTATAGCTTCCAGAATCACAGCAACTCAAAAGCCACTACAGTACAACAAACTGACAGACAAATGGCTATCAGAAGAAACACTGAAACTTGCTCTCCAGTGTAGAGATGCTAAAGCAAAAGGAAGAAATGAGGAGGTACAAGAGCTGAACAGAAAATTTCAAAGATCAGCTTGAGAAGATAAAGCCAAATATTACAACAAAATGAGCAAAGATCTGGAATCAGAAAACCAAAAAGGAAGAACACACTCAGCATTTCTCAAGCTGGGGGAGCTGAATAAAAACTTCAAGCCTCGACTTTTGTTATTGAAAGATTCTCTGGGCAAATTATTGAATGATGCACAATGCATCAAAAGCAGATGGAAGGAATACACCGAGTCACTGTACCAAAAGGAAATGGTTAGTGTTCAACTGTTTCAAGAGGTAGCATATGATCAAGAGGCAATGATACTGAAGGAAGAAGTCCAAGGTGCATTGAAGGAATTGGTAAATATCAAGACACCAGGAACTGATAGAATAAAAACTGAAATCTTTCAAGAAAGTGAGATGGCACAGGAGGCACTCACTCATCTCTGCCAAGAAATTTGGAAGACTACTATCTGGCCAACTTATTGGAAGAGATCCATATTTATGCCCATTCCAAAGAGAGGTGACCCAATGGAATGTGGAAATCATCGGACATTCTCTTTGATATCCCATGCGAGTAAAGTTTTACTAAAGATAATACAGAAACGGCTGCAAGCATACATTGACAGAGAACTTCCAGAGGTTCCAGCAGATTCAAAAGATGCCATGAAACGAGGGGTATCATTGCTGATGTCCGATAGATCTTGGTTGAAAGTACAGAATATCAGAAAGATGTTTACCTGTGTTTTACTGACTATGAAAAGGCTTTCGATTGTGTGGATCATGACAAGCTACGGACAACATTGCGAAGTATGAGTATTCTGGAACACTTAATTGTGCTCATGAGGAATCCACATGGACCAAGAGGCCATTGTTCGAACAGAACATGGGAACACTGAATGGTTTAAAATTAAGAAAGGTGTGCGACAAGGTTGTATTCTTTCACCATACTTACTCAACCTGTATGCTGAGCAAATAATCCGAGAAGCTGGGTTCTATGAAGAAAAATGTGGCATCA